GTAGAAGCCGGCGCTGCCGTAGGTCTGCCCCTCCACGGCCAGGGTGAACTCGAGGGCGTCGCCGTCGCCCAGGAGCTGGGCGTCCATCAGGCCGGTGTACTTCTCCTGGGGGTGCCACCGCGTCGGGCGGCCCCCGCACTTCGCGCACTCCATCCACAGCTGGAGCTCGGAGAAGTCTTTGTAGGGCCGCCGCGAGCGGCAGCGCTCGCAGACGGTGAAGCGCTCCTGCGGGCGGTGCGGGTGGTCTCGGGAGGGGTGCGTGGCGAAGAAAACCCCGCCGCCCCCCAGGCGAAAGTGCCCGCAGGTCGCGCACTGCGCGTTGAAAATCGGGTTGTAGGCGTAATTGCACACCACGCAAACCCAGACGGCCCCGGGGCGCGCGGCACCGCAAATCGCACAACGCGTCGTCCCGGCAACGTTGATTAACGTGCACCGCTCACAGCTCCACTCACGGTGGAGGCTGCGCTCGAAATCGCTGGCGGAGTTCTCGCCCGGTGAGCGGGCCTCGGAGGCGCGAAAGGTCGCGCGGCCCTGCAGGGTCGTCGGGGAGCACACCCGGCAGAGAAACGTAAACTCGCCGCGCGTGCACTGCCCTTCGCCCTCGATCCACCCTTCCTCCACCTCCCCTGCATTCCGCCCGGCGCTCGCGCGGAACGTGATGGTCAACGGCGGGTGGGCGCCTTCTGGGGAATCCCCCTTGGAATTTCGCTGCTCGCCTATGGTACTCCCTCCACCTTCTACACCTCCTCCGGGCATATCCCTTCGGCCTTTGATATCGTCCATTCGATTTGCGCCTTCGACGTTTGTCGACGTCTTGCGCCGCTTCATCGGCGCCGGCAGCGGACGGGGGCCGTCGGACCACACCGCAAGGAACCCCGTGTAGGGCGACGGCCGGTTAAAGCGGCGGAGGATCTGATCGTAAAGAATACAATGGGTCGCAGGGGCCTCGTGCTGATCCCGGCACTCCCCCCAGTCCTTCCCGCAGGTTGGGCAAAGCAGCTGGAGCAGGCCATCGGCGTCTTTATTCAGTGAGGAATAGAGCTTCAGGAAATAGGTGCCTCGGTTCCTTCCCCCACCGCCTCCCGCGCGCGAAGCCTGCCGTCTCTCGCCTTTGTCCTCGGACAGTAGCAAGGAGGGGTTGAGTACCAGTTCGAGCGTCTTCTCCGCAGGGTCTCTGGGGTCCTCCGTTGAGCTCGAGGTCCGGCTCCACAGGATATCATTCCAGGCCTCGCACAGCATCACCTCCGGCTTGATCTCTAAGTTATCCACGCTCTGCAAAAGTCGCAACATCTCCTGCACCACCGCCCCCTCGAGCACCTTCACCTCTCCCTCTCCCCCCTCCGTCTCCTTCCCCTCCTCGCGATCACCATAAATCAATGAAAGCAGACGTAAATAGCGAACTAAAAGGCCAGGGTAGCGAACCACGCAGACGGCAGGGGAGGTCCTCCTCGGGCGGAAGCGCCCTCCCCCGCCTCTTACGCCCCCTCCTCCGCCTCCGGATGGCGATCCGTCAAGAAGGGCGAGGACGCCGCAGAGGAGTTTAATGAGGTAAAGCCGCGGCGGGACGGCGAGGCCCACGCGGGAGGCCGGATTCGGCGTGAGGGCCGCGGCCACCACGCGCAGGAGGCTGCCCCCCTCACCCGCCTCGCGGACCACCGCCCAGGGCCCGTCCACCGTGACCAGGCGAACCTGCTGGCGATGCTTAAGAGCGCCAGAACGGGCGGGCGGGCGGTAGATCATCTCCATCTCGTCCCCGTCTGCGCCGAGGACCTGCAGTGCGGTGATTCGCCTTCCCTCCTCCTCATCCCCTCCCGCGCCGCACGTAAGGGGCCCGACGAGGTTGGGCAGAAGCTCCGCCGTCCAGTGGGCGACCATCGCCCGCATGGTATACCGCGCGTGGAGCGCGATCTCGCACGGCGCGTACATCCACGTCGCCTGGCTATCCCGATTAAAAAGCTCCACAAATGGGAAAAGAACCTGAATGGAGGATGGGAGATTGCGAAAGAGGGTCCCAAGCGGCCGCCCGTTGCGCAGGAACGCAATGCTGCGGCTTTCTGTATATAAAACCACCGTGATGACGTCCCCGGTCCCGTAGATGACGCCGTCGTCGGGAGAGAGCCAATGCTGTTTGTACTTCCGCAGCTTCGCCTTGCACGACTCGGCGGTATCGGAGAGGAAATCGGTCAGCGAATAAACCATGTGTTGGCGGGCAGAATTCCCCGGGTAAGTGGAAAGACTCTGCTTCGTGCTATTCTCTCGACAGCAGACGAGCCCGATGTGGTAATAGCGGCCGAGTGTATCCGTCTGGAAGCCGCGCTGAAGTTGGGCCGAGAAGCTGACGACGGCCCCGTAGGACCCATCGAGCGGGATCCCATTCCACGCGTAGTTCGCCGTCCGCTGGGGGAAACATTGGATGGTCTCGTGTTTGTAATAAACGCAGCGCCCGCTCATCCGCACCGCGATGTCATCCGGGACGGTTCTCGCGGCGAAGATCGGGCGGTACTCCCCCGTTGACCGCCTCGCGAGTTCGCCGCAGACCCGCCAAAGCGGCTTCGGGTCAAACGCG